CGTTCAATCTGCGCCTCGAGATCACTCACCTCCTGCATGTACTTGCTCTTGCTCCAATCGAGCTGGTGTTGCAGCTCGGTGCACTCGTCTTCCAGCTGTTGCACCTCCGCCTGTCCTGCCCGCTCAAGCTCCTCCAGGAGCGGGGCGGCCTCGGCCTCCTTTTCAAGCCTCACCGCAACAAAAGAGCGCTCCTGTTCCGCCTTTGCGCTCCATAACGCGGCATACTCCGCCTCGAGGGCAGACACTTCGCTCTTAAATTCCTCCGCCCGCTCCCGCATCCGCGTGTTTTGTTCATGGCTACGTCGCTTCTCTTCTCCCTCAATCTCCGCCTTGAGTTTCCCTGCTGTGTGCGTCAGGCTCTCAATGGCGATCTGACGATCTTCAACGTCGGAGGCCAAAACAAGAACCTCGTCGCCGCAATATCCCGCGTCCCGTTGAGCAGGACGACCGTCCTCCCGCACTTCGATAACAAACAGCGTCCCATCAGCGCTGACAGAGTAAATGATGCTCTCATCATAAGAGAGCACCATTCGGGCTACTTTGCCCATATGCGCCACAATAGGAACTTCCTGCAAACCCAACTGAAGAGGGAAATTCATAAATTTAATGGAACCATCATCCGTCCCACCAAATAACAGTCGTTGCTTTGGAGAGACTAGGACCGTTGTGATTGTGCTGTCACGGAATTCGTAATCCGTTGTGGTGGTGGGACTAGAGGCCTCTACAGCACCGAAACGGTCCATCTCCCGCAGTATCGATTTGCATTGCGCTTCCGCAGCAGACGATGCCGGGTCTCCGACGGCCCACATGTTCTTATCATCTGCCACAACAACACGGTATTGGTAGCGTTTATCTGCATACTCCCCATCCTTGCGCAACTCACTGATGTTCCAGTTGATGATGATGCCGTCGAGGGAGCAGGAGACCATCCCATTGTCCGTGGGATACGGGGAGGTGGCGGCCCACTGAAAACAGCTAATCTTTTGCGGATGACCCCGCAGCTGTCCATGGGCATCGCATGTGAGTGCGTTGTACAGATGGATCAGGTTGCCATGTGCCAAGGCAAAGTATTTCCCTCCCACAGAAAACTTCACATCGGTCACATTGCGAAGATTAAGCACTCGATGTTCGTGGAGGCAGTTCCACAGAACACTCATAACAAGAACTTTATCTGGAAAGCAGATCACCACGTAGAGGCCGTTTGGATGAATGCTTACGGGACCTGGTTGGGATGAGAAGTACTGGCACATCTCTAATCGATGCGTGCTGGTGTTCCAAATACGCACACTCTTGTCGACACCAGAGGTCACCAAAAATGGCCGCCGCACACTGCAGTCAACGCCAATAATGCCACCAACATGAAACGATTGACAAATCGGCAATAACGCTGGGGGATCATCTGCGGTGCGCTTTGCCCATGGCTGAGAGAAGTTAAAGGCGAGGATTTGACCCGAGTGTGTCACTAACGCCATGGTCTCCTCCAACTGATCAAGTGACAGATGCACCACGCTGTTTTCCCGAAGCGCATCCATGCGTGCCATCCCTTGTATTCCCGACTGGGGACGTGTCTTCTCCACAGGCGCGGCTATAATCTTTTGTGCCACCCCTGTGTTGACGTGAAAAATGCGTTTGGAGCCCTTTGTTGCCCATGGCTTCAACGAAGAGGGGTCGGGCGTATCTGCAAGAGACGAGCCACTAGCATTCGCATCCAAGGCAGCACGATTGCCAGCCGCAGTGGTTGCAGATGGCCGTGTGTCATCTCCCTCAAGGACACGCTTTTTTGTATGCAGCTCCTCCTCTGTGGGCACTGGCACAGTATACACAATGGAGTACTCGCCACTTGACCCGCTTGCATTTTCGTAAATAGCGACGGTGCCCTGATCACTACCAGCAATAAACCCCTCTTTGCTGGGCACAAGCGAGAGAACCGTTGGATTCGTCAGTTGTGCTCTCGTGGGGGGCGGCACGGGCAGCAGTCTTTTGTATACACCCCCTTCAATGATCATTAACTCACCCGTCTGCGTTGATGCCACCACACGGTCTCCAGTGACCCACGTGTGGGTCAGGAAGTTGGACACGCCTTCAAGATCGTAGTTGATGGGGGGCTGAGTCTGCAGCACGCCATCCACATAGCGGTAGAAACGCATCATCCCCAGGCCGGAGACCGCTATCAACAAAGGATCCCGCGGGCAAATCGTCACACATGAGACGGGAGGAGGTCCAGACGATGCGCCGTGCGGCTCCTTCGTACGCGCATCATGCAAAAGTGATGAGCGACTCGTGGACTCATTCGTTCCCTCCACCTTCAAATCGGCAATCACAGACGTAAAGGCGAGTGGCTTGGAGCGCTCCCAATTCCAGTAGAAAAGATTCCACTGCGGCGCACCCCCCTGCGTTGCCAAGTGCCGCCCATCCACGCTGAAGGACATCGCCACAAAACTCTCGCTTCCAAGATCCTGCACACTTAAAGTCTTGCGACGTTTCCGAGGGACGGAGTCAATAATTTGAATCTGGGGTGCGATACCGCCCTCCGCAATTGCAATGAACTTCTTGTTCGCACTCACCGCCAGCGCCGTCAGGCCACTGCTGTGGACTCCGGCATCAAAGAAGCGCTGGGTGTTGCTGTTGAGGTTGTGCACAACCACGGTCTTCCCCACAGGGTAAAGCAGCGTCCCCTCCTCCACCCAATTCAGGCAGCCGTACACATCCGGCCGGATGCCAAACGCGTGCCGCTTCACAAGACTGCGCCCGGTCCCCTCCTTTTGTTCCATCAACCCCTCCCCTCTCAAAAAATAATAATAATAATAATTTCTAAAAAAAAAAAAAAGATCCTTTCTTGCCTCTCACCCTCACACTGCGTGTGTATGTTTGTTCGTGAACATACGTGTGTATGAAAACCAAGACAGAGGAAAGAAGCGGACTCCAATACAACAGTGGGCACAATCCCATTCAGGCATGCGCAAAAAACAAAACACACACAAACACGCCGCACGCAGAAGAATGCAAGCCGCGGCAAAAAAAAAAAAAAGGACAAGACAAGACACTCGCAAGACCGAGAAGAGTTTCCTGTCATTTGGAATTCTCATATAAGTGGCATGGCTTCGCTTCATAAAGCAGAATACACGCAAGAGTCATCGCAGCTCGCTCCGTAACTCAGTCCCCTCATATGCCTCCCCCGCAAAATAAAATAAACGCCCGAACTATTGTGCTTTATTTTATCCTCTTCCTCTCATATCCGCACCCGGTCTGTACTTCCCCCCTATAAAATAAAAGACCCCGCGCGCCAGCTCGTCTGGCAACTGCCTGAATGCCAAATGACATGGAATCTCCTTGATGTCCTTGTTGCGGTGTTTTGCGTCGGCAAGGTACTCCTGAACAGACCGGCCTGACTCCTCTAAATCCTGAATGATCTCCTTGAGTGTGCGCATGGCGTGGTCTTTGGGTGGATAATCCTGACCATTGTCCATATACTCCCCGCGAATAAAGTCATCTACGAGAATGGCGTTAGCGTTGCAGCTACGAACGCTCAACGGGCGATTTTCCACAATAAGGGTGTCCTCCAAGGGGCGCTTGAGCCAGAGAATATTCTTTTCGTAGTAGTTGTCCTGCGTGAACCAGTCACGGTGACGCACAATGTACTGCGACACACGGACCCCACTGGGATCAATCACATTGAGTACCTGACGCATGTACCGCTCGCTACAGGCCGACCAAAGCACCACCTCCGCATCAATGGAAGAGAGATAATCCAGCAACTCCGCCAAGTACGGTCTAACCACCATACCCGCCTTCATTCGAAAGGCCTTGTCGCCATACGATAAGATTGTCTCGTCCAAATCCAGTACAATCGTCAAACGACTGCGGTACGCCTTTTTCTTGGGACCAATAAGCCCAAATGCACTCTTCTGTTGCTCTTGCAAACGCCATAGCTTTGAGCCCGCCACAGCCAGCATGATAATTGTGCCAAATAAATAATACCGCACCCCGCGATCGCTCAGCATCCGACGCCAATACTCCTTGAGTCTCTTTGCACCATAAAAACGATCATCGGTGTAGTCCTTCCACGCATTCTCCTTGTTCGCGTACATGTGGATGCTGGACTGCGTACGTGAGAACAGTTTTCCGTCGGAGACGCCTCTCTTTTTGCCCGACGAGAGTGATGAGGTGTACATGCGGCACGACGCCATCCACGCGCCGTACGCCCCGGTTGAGGCGTAGCGTGGCAGACGCCGACAGCACTCGCGGTACAGCATCGCTTCACAATATGGATGACCAGAATGAATCGCCGGGGCTACTGGCCGGATCCTAAGCTTTAAAATAAAATAAAACAGGACGGAAAAGAAGGGAGCAATCAAAAAGGCAGTGGCTTCACCACAGCCTCAATGTGTATTCCATGCATGCATACATACTTATATATATATATACTTATATGTTATTCGGGCAGCCAATAATCGTGACACACGATGCGCACTATCCAAACCGGAGATGTTTTTTTTATGTTACTTACTAAGCGGCAGCATTTAAACATCCTCCAGCCGCAATACTTCGCCGTACGCGGTGGAAATCAAAAAGAGTAGGCAGGTGGGTAGGACGGCCAAAATAAAAATAAGGCAACTACCTTACCCTCATCGATTTATTGACTCCTCCTCCATCGCAGTCGTCCAGAGATTCATTAGGTGGTAAAAGAATCGTGCAGAAATATTTTCTTCTTCTCCAGAAAAATATTCATCATTTAGAACGCCAGTCTTCCTCGCGAACATTTTCTTCACAATTCCCCAAAGCACACAGAATAATTAAAAAAAAAAGATAATAATAATGATGGGACACCACCACTTCCAACGTCCTCTTCATGCCGCACCAACAAAAACAGACATCGGCGCCAGCAAACCTTCCGTTCTTCCTTCAGCTGCACACGCAACATAACAACGTGACATGTGCGCCGAATCAAATCAATCAACAACAACTTTATATTTGACCCTTCGTTTCAATGCTTCTTGCCTTTACCCCTTCTTCTTCTTCTTCTTCTCGTGTGGGGGAGGTGCCATCTTCTGTCTACGCAGCTTCCATGCACCGAGGCAAGTTACAAAGTTTACCACGTATATGGAGCCGCATACGATGCATAGGTCGTGGAGGATGAGTGTAAGGATTAAAAAAAGCCCCACAGAGACCACGCAGCTTGCCGCGCTCATAAATAAAAGCAGCGTCGGGAATCGACAGGTGGCGAGCTCCGAAAGGTAGAAGATCATCCCCAGTACGGCGTTGGACACATGCGGCAGCCCAACGAATTGCGTCAAGGAGCCATACTCCGAAGAAAAGACGCGTGTGCAAGAAAACACACCGACATCGCAGTAGGCACGATACACCTGGCCCAGCTCCCTCGCCCTGGCAAAGCGACGCTCCACGAGGTAGGCGTAGCTGGAAAGAAGAAAACCAAACATCACCACAACGGGCAAAAGACACGACAGAAACGCCATTAGGGGCTTCAACGTCCAGCGGATTCCCTTTTATTTGTTTCTATTCTCTTTTTTTTTTTTTTTCTTTTTCTTTTTTTTTTTTCTTATTTTGGTCCTTCCGCAAAACCGTCCTTTACCATCCACGAAATGTAAAGCGGCTGTTGGTTCCTCAATTGTGGAAGAAAAAAAAAAAAAATTTCTCAAGAATAAAAAAAAAAAAGAAGTCAACACATGCAGAAATACCCCACGCCCATTACTCCATTCAGTCCGCATAAACACACACACAAACACAAAAACATACATATGTAAATATACATAGATAAATAAATAGAAAAAAAAAAAAAAAAACAGAAGATTGTGAACGCCCATCACCGCTTTTTTACCCTGCGCTCTCTTTTTTTTTTTTTTTTTTTTTTTTTTTTTCCTCTGTCTTTGTTAATTGGCCACCATTTGCATTTATGTGCGTGTGTGTTTCCGCCCCTTCGTCAGTTTCCCCACGTCAAGGGGTCCCAGTCAAGAAGAGGTAGGCGGCAAATTCACTCCTCTTTTCCGGGGTTGGTGGCGCGCACAATGCGGTCGCGTAGCAAGACGGGGTCGAGTGTTCCGTCCTCCGTCATGCAGCCGTCAAAGCCGTAAATCCGGTCCACCGCCACGTCGTTGTGGAACAGCACACAGCACGGCAGTGTCTTAATGCGCAGTCGTTCCACGAGGAACGGCGACTTCTCCGCGTCTATTTTTACAAACTTCACGCTTAACACCGTTCGTGCCAACTCTGAGAGACGGTAGTCCACCACACGACATGTTTCAAAGTCCTTGTGATAGAAGTGCACGCAGACGTCATCACTACCGCCCTTCTCCCGCACCACAATGCCAAAAAACTCATCTTGTGATATCTCACGGTACTCGCCATGTTGTTTTTGACGCCACTCCACCTCTTTTGCCTGCTGCCGCTGCATCTGCGCCACACATCTGCGGCGGAGCTCCAGCAGTTCCGCGTCATCATCGTCATCATCGCGTTCGACGATGTCTCGGGGCACGGCTCCGCGCTCCTGCTTCTCCCGCTCCTTTTCGGCGGCGGGGTCGTACACAGGCACACCGTTATCCCGCGGCTTCTCTTCCATCTGGCGACGGTGAGTGGGGACAACATCGTCCATGTCACGATTACGCATGTATTCCTTCGTCCCCATCTCCGCTATCGCAGACGTCAGGTTCTGGTTGGCCTTCAAGTTGGTGGCCTCATTCACCATACCGCTGCTTTTGCCGGAGCCGAGCATTGCCGTTGCGGTGAGTTATTTTCCCCCAGTTGCGTTCCTTGCTGTTTGGCGTCCTTCCCTTCTCTCCTTCTGTTTCCCTCCTCCCTCCCTCCCTTCTTTTTTTTTTCCCCCACAAGAAACGCACAGAAAAAGAAAAAAAAAAAAGTAGTAGCAAAAGTCATAAATAATGAAAACACAGAACGGTTTCTTGTTTCTTTTGTGAGACCTTCCCTCTCGTAGGAGAGAAAGGAATAAAGCGAGCGGATCCGGGAAAAGAGAATACCCCAATTAACGTGCAACGCGCACAAATAATCCTTCTTTACATTTGGTTCTCTTTATCATTTGTTGTTTATTCGCAAAGACATCCCCGCCCGAGGCCGGGCTCCCTCTGCTCCTTCTGGGTATATGCCAAGCTCTTCTTGATAGGCCCGCAGTTGTTGACGGAAACCGAGGTTGGGCGATGCCACATGACGCCTGCTTTGAATAAGCTCAATCGCCGCCACTGCAGTCAGTCGCAGTTTCTTGATGAGGTACGCGGCGGCAATGGTGGGGGCGCGAGAAATGCCCGCACCGCAGTGTACGAGCACGGCGGAGTGCTGTTTAATCAGCGCATCCTCAATAAACTCAAATGTTTGGGGGAAAAACTTCGCAATGTTGTATCCGGGCATGTCCTGCGCAGAAACCTTCATGTACGTAAACTCCGACGGGAAGCGAGGCATGACATCGATGCAGCACAACACGTGAGTCACCTTGTGACGATGAAGCAATTCCCTTTCCGATGCCGGGTGATAGGAGCCAACATACAGCCCGGGGACAACTTCATGCATCGCCTGCAAGCCATAGACGTCCCTTAACATGAAATGCGGAGTGCCCTTTGCCGTGGCCTTCGAAACAAATAAATTGCGATCGCACAGTTGATCTACATCCTCCAACTTGTTCGGGTAGGCATCCCGCAGTGCCGTGCGCAGGGCCGCCCGGGCAGACTGCACCGTCTCCATCTGTACAGGAATATTCGTCACCGCCATGCGAAACGCCTCCAACTTGTTTTGAACATCCTCCGGGATGATGAGCGGATCGGAAACCTTTTTTCCCGCCTTCCCCCTCGCAACAGCCGCCACGGTGCCCGCGTTGAGTGTATCGCCCTCGCTGCCGCCAGCAGCCGGCAAGGACAACGATGACAATGATGATGATGATGCCTCCTGCCGCTGCGAAACAAAACGGAGAACTGCAAATACGCGCTCAATCTCTGCGGACGGCAACCCTGAATGGGATAATGACATCCTTCTGACTCCCTCTTTTTATATTTCTCTGCTGTTTTCACAAAAGCAGGATGAATGAACGCTTCCCCGCTCCCTCTATTTCTCTTCTTTATTTTTTCTATGCCTGTTTCTTTGCTGTTTATGACTTCTTGTTGTTTGCTTGTTTTTTGGCTTTTGTTTTCGCTTCACCGCTCCCTCGTTTATAAAAGGGCCACCACCTTGTGCGGCATCGATGGCCAAAGACAAGGAGACAATGCGAATAAGGAAGAAGATGTCTTCTCTCCGGTGTGTGGAGGCAGTAGCATGTAATCATCGCATCGCAGGGGATGTGACTCAGCCTGTCGGGCGTATCCACTTCTGTGATTTGGCGTCACCGCCGTGTGTGTCCCATCGCCGGCACGAGAAGGAACACACAGAATGGGAAAAAAGCGGGTGGAGATGCCCTTTAAAAAGCGCACACGTGAAAGAAGCACAAGAACAAAAAAATACATAAGACGGTGACGGATACGCTAAAAAAAAAAATTGGAAAAAAAAAAGACAAAACAAACTTCACTTGTGCCCCAATGCCAGCGCACTGTACTGCACTCGGTGAATGAGAGGTTCCTGCCAGGACCCAACACACACATACACAGATATATATATATATATATTGCCGTCAAAGAAAAGGCCTTCACAGCATCCGGCAGTGCGTCCTTCTCACTTTTTTCGGGTGCTGTTGTTTCTTCAGTTCCTTCTTTCCTCCAATGCGCTAAAAGACAACAAACACCGCAAAAAAAGCAAAAAAACAAAAAAAAACCGTTCGGTAGCACCCGCACCAGCGGCCTTCACGGCGCCGCGTGAAGGGCGGGAGTCAAACCTCACGTCGCTCCAGGCACAACGTGCCCCGCCAGCGCATCCGTCACGGCAGGCCGCCTTGTTTGCTACTGTGCACCGTCTCGCGTCCAGTACACCTGGCCCTCCATCCCTCCCTCGTCCATCTGGTGCCCACGCTCAATCTCCGGGAGTCGGTAGTTCATGAACACCACCTGCATCTCGTCCAGCGTCATGTCCTTCACCCAGCCCCTGGCGTTAAGGTACCGCCGCGCCATCTCGCGCTGCCTGAGGTCCTTGTGGTACGGGCTCTTCGGGTGGCTCGCCTGCCACAGGGCGTGGAAGAGGCCGGGCTCCTTCAGCCCCTCCTCAATCTGCGCCTCGCTAAGCGGGGCAAAATTCGGGCGGTGCAGCCGCTCGATCAGCGGTGCCTCCTCCAGCTCCCGCTGCCGCAACGCCTCGTACTGCTCCATGTGCATCGCACGGTACCTCTCGCTCTCCTCCGCGTACTGCTTCTCCGTCACGCCCTTCACGGGAGAGCTGTGCGGCGTGTCGACGCCGACAAAACACACGCCCATGCGGCGCGCCTGCCCCACCACTCGACGCACGCGCGTCTCAATGAGTGGGTACTCCGGCCTTCCCCAACTCCTCGGCTTCATCTTCGCTATCTCGTACGCCATCTCCAGCGTCATTAGGGCGCAGTAGTGCCCGCGAATCGGCACCGGGCCGGTCTCACGGCGCTTCTTCCGCAGGGCGCGCAAAATAAACCAGGCCGTGGGCGGCGGCTCGATGGCGTACAGGTACGACTTGTCAAAGTACACCTGAATTCGTACGATGAGCTCCACGTCGTCCTTGAAGTGCGGCTTCGTGCGATCGTTAAAGGACTTTGCAAAATCCATGGCCTTCAGGCCGAGCTTCGAGAACTCCTGCCCCACCGGCGGGCCAGTGGCTGCCTTCCCCGCCTTGATGAAGAAGCGCCAGTTGTGCAGCACCCGCTTCCCAGGGAACTCCGGCACCGCGAAGATGTCCTTTGCCTTCGCCATCACAGCGGCATCCAGCATGCGGTTCGAGCCCGGCTCAACGTTAACGGTCTTCGGCCGGGCCCTCAACAGCGAGACCGTGCCTCGGCGGAGCATATGCTTGCCTGTCCACACAACAGCCCCTCCCCTTCCTGCTTACTGCTTACTGCCCGCGCACCAAAGGAGCAGGCGTGAAATAGGAGAAAGGCATCCACACACACACAAATGCATGCATGCATCATGCACAGACGCCCACAACAAAACACGGAGAAGAAGAGACCACTGCCCCAGCCCCAAACACACACACACACAGAGAGAGAAAAAAAAAAAAAAAAGAGTTCAACACGCACACACGCACCAACCTAAGCCGCTTTTCCCACCTGCAGCATGCAGCACAGCGTCTCGCGTGTCTTCTCGCACGGGCCGCCCGACACCTCGCGCCCAATGTGCCGCAGCTCGTCCTCCCGAACACGCTGCAGTCGCGCCTCCAGGTCCGCAACGGTCACGCCAAGGCCCACCGCAAGCTTCTCCATGCAACCAGACTCGCCATAAAACGTCCGCCGCTGATGAACGTGTCGTGCCGCCAGGTAGTCAAGCAGCCAGCGCTCCAGGTGCTCCACGTCCCTCCCAGTCCCGCCGCCAACCGCTCCCAGCGCCTCCCGAAAGGCCTCCCCATACGCGCACCGACCGCAGTGACGGGCGACCCTCTCAAGCATCGCACGCACTCCGCCCTCCTCCTCTTGCTCGCCGGCGCCCGCTGGTCCCGTCGCCCACCGCTGCAACGCCCACGTCGCGTTCACAGCATCGTTCTGCACAAGGTACGCCGTCACAAGGGCACGGAAGAAGTGCGGCGAAGAACACTGTCCTGCACTGGGCGATCCGCATTCAAGCTCCTCCGCCAGGCGCAGAACCGCGTCCGCCCTTCGCTCATAGGCAGACGCAAGGCACGACTCCACTCCTGCACTATGCATTCGGCTACAGCAACAAGCACCTACCTCTCTATAACCCCCTAGCAAGTAGAGTAATAAGTGGCGGATAAACAACAATCAGAGCAGAAAACACATCCGTGCGAAAAGCGGCGGCTCCCATCAAACCAACAAGGGTGCCCCACATGCACACACCGAAAATAATATAATATTGTGTTCCCCCAACCAGACGATAACAATGACCCATTGGCACAGCAAGCCACACATCGGCTCAGATCAGCCCAGCCCCAGAAAGATGCCTCTTCACGAGCTGCCACCCACCAATGTTTCATGTGGTGGCAGAACGTACGGAAGACGGTCCGGCAGAATTTGGCTGGCCTTCACAGACTTCTCAATGGCACACCACAGCGCCTCAAACACAACGCGACCGCCGTTCTCGTCGAAGTGGAGACCATCAGAAAAATACTCACACCATGAGCCCTCTACGTACGGCACCGTGTCAGCACTCCTGCCCAGAAAGACGCGGTACAGGTCAACCGTAAAAACATCCCCGTGCTCCTCATACTCCTCGGCCCCAACCCGCAGAGAAGCATCGCGGTAGCGTCGCATGGATTCGAAGCTGCGGCCACAAGAATTGGGGTCACAACCAACGTCACGCAACCACTGCAGTCGTCCCTTCTCGTCAAGCGGTGGGGGCGAAAGGAGGAATATACCACCAACGGGACATACGTGCTTGCGCACAGTGTCAATGATTGCCCTCAGGTTCGCACCGTATTCATCCAGTGGAACATGCTGAGGAAAGCCAGCGCAATCGTTGGACCCAAGCATCAGAGTTACGAACAGTGCCTTACCAGGTTGTGTGGGAAGAAGCTGCTGACGCCTCGCATCATCCCTCAGTATATCCAGCACCCAGCGCGTGTTGTAACCGCTTAGCCCACGATTGATCACAACCGCGCGGCGCACGTAACGTTTGCTGAGGCGTGACGCCCAGCCGGACTCGTAACCTTGCTGTGTCAGGGAGTCGCCCAGAAGAAGAACGTACTGCATTTCTTTTTTTTTTTTTTTTTCCGCTGCCTTCTCTTTGGGTATGTCCACCAACTTCTCCCACCCTTGCCAAGCGAAAGAGAGGAAGAAGTACAGGAAATAGGAACGACAGAAAAAACAGCAGTTAAAAGCGGATGGAGAAGTTTATCAGGAATACGAACAGCCAGATGGTTCTTGAAGCAAATTTTGCACGCTCATTCAGTCACATACACGCTCACACAAATACCCTTTGCCCCAAGCCAATTTTAGGCCCTTGTAATCAGAACTGATGCATCTGTGGCACCACTATCCGTAAGACTTACCGTACAGCGGCATGTATTTCCCGCCTCCCCAGTATCATGTGCTTTTGGCAGCAGACAAGTTGGACAGACGACATCGTTAACAATAAACTCTCTCGGTAGCTTCATGTAGCGCAGGTACGTCCAGTGGGTTTCTCGGTAAATGTGAGAGCGCTGCTGCGGCCTTACCTCCATGCAGAGTTGCGCTAAGACATCAAATCCCAACTCGTCGTATTCAGTTGTGCGGTTCATGAGATCGACAAGATCAAGTGCAAGATGTATCCATGGTCGCTTCTTTGTCCAAGAAGAATTTGTTCCTTCCTTTGCGGTGGCTTTCTCATCCACTGTCGTCGAGGATGCAATCTCGCAAACGGTTCGGATAATTTCTGCCACGTCGCATACTGAACTATGGACGGTGTCATTCTCCAACACTGGGACGCGCGATTGCAAACCGCAACGCATCCCATTCAAGAGATCACAACCACGCCACGGAAGTTGCACCTCCTGTGCGCGAAGGAGCGCCATTAGCATGGAGCGGAGAGGTGACAGTACCGTGGTGGAAGAGAGAAGACCTTGTTTCACGCGATGCACCGTTTGTAGCATCGCACTGAGTATCAAGCGAAGGGCAATGTCATGTTCAGCCGCGGAAGCATCTGAAAACTGGGGCAATGAGTAGCCGCAGTAAAAACAAACGTGACATATCCGAGCAATATTCTGCAGCTGGAGGTATGCACCGCAAAAGGCGCAGACGCGAGGAGCAGATGGCACCGGCAACAACAGTGCACTCGGTAATTGGCTGCTTTGCATGCCACGACTCTCATCTCCTGTCGGTGGATCTTTACCGCATCCACGTCCCTTCTCCACAGAGGCAAGCTCTCTGTAGCGCAAAGGGTTAGAATGATAGCCCCCGGCAGCGGCGATGTTGTGTGACACGCCGCAGTGGC